AGGTCCCCCCTCCTTGAGCTCCTACCTTGTAGCGTGGCCGAGCGCACCGCGGTACAGGAACTTATGTTTCCTGTACCCGGCGGACAGGAAGTGCTCGCTCTGTGAGCACTTCATTTCCGTCCGCCCGGGTACAGGAAACATAAGTTCCTGTACCGCGGTGCGCTCGGCCACGCTACACAGAGTGCCTGGCAGGAGTGCTCCGGCTTTGCACCCTCCCTCCCTCCGGCGACCTATGGCCGCGTGCCCACAGAGGGGGCTCGGCATGCCACCTGTGGCACGCGTGCCATAGGTTCGCCATCACATTGGGCATATTGTTTTACTCAGAAGATGTAACTTAGCATAATTTGTGGTTTTTTATGACAGTGGAACATATCAAGTGTAAGAAATACTCAGCAAAAATGCAACATATATGTAAAAATGCAATTACCCCCCCCCTCACCACAAACATTGACATAAATTGGTGAAAAAATGGTGACAAGTTAAGGCACAATATATGCTATATAAGATACCCTGGGGTGTCTGCTTTAACAAATGAAAGCCCTTTCTGGGGTTATTTGAACAGTCACACTGCTATAATACCCTAAAATGAGACATAGGCCCATCAAATCCATCTACGAAAATTCTAACTATAGAAACTGAAATAGCCTTGTCTCTTATATGGCATTGTAGCTTTACCGAATAGTGCCAAAGGCATACAATGGGAGTATCGTTATACTCAGCACATGTAGCTGAACACACTATAGGGCAGGAATAGCACACACCAGCTTTATGAAATACACATTACTAAAACCTTATTATATGTGTATTGGCCAAAATATAGAAAAAGCGCGGGGCGTGGTTTGGCAGCCTAAGCAAATGGCCGCATAATTTTTCCCTCCGCCGGGGTCCCGACTCACCGGCACAAGCCCACCCGCTCCACTGCTGACATGGGGAGGTCAAACAGGGCCCCACCGACCGGGAAGACCCCAGAGCCCAAAAAGGGACAACTTACCTCGTCCCTCCGCCAGTTCCTGGTTACCCCCGCAGACCTCGCGACCCAGCCGCATGGCGCCGATAGCATAATGGCGTCGGAAGATTCCGCGCCCTCATCGCCGGCGTCTGATCTGCACACCGGAGGGTCGGAAAGACCCCCATGGCTGGACCTCCTGAGAGCCCTGCCCACCAAGGGAGACCTCCGTTCGGCCACCTCAGAATTGGGAGCCACAATCAGGCAGGACATCCAGGCGCTGAGAGCTGACCTGCAGGGCCTGACAGACCGGATGAGCCACGTGGAGGCAGCCTGTGACACTTTGAGAGAGGCCCAGAATACACTTGCTGAGGCTGCAGAAACCTCCTCAGAACAGGTACGTGGCATGGCCCTGCATATTGAGGACTTGGATAACAGGGGGCGCCGCAATAACTTAAGGCTGCGCGGCCTCCCTGAAACTGAGGACTCCCCCCAACAGCTGCAGGAAAGCCTCCTGGAAATATTTAATGGGATCCTCGGCCGTGATCACCAGGCACCTATAGACTTTGTAAGAGCTCATAGAGCCCTCCATCCTAAGGGCGCGCCGGACAGCCCACCCAGGGACGTCATTTGCTGCCTGGCGAATTTTGCCCTAAAGGAGACTATCCTTAAACAAGCACGAGGCCAGCAAACGCTCACCTACCGGAACCAAGACCTGCAACTCTTTCCAGATTTATCGCCGGCTACCCTAACCTACCGACGCGCACTGAAACCACTCACGAGGATACTGGTGGCTCAACAGATCCGGTACAGATGGCAGATGCCCACGGGACTGCTCGTCCACACGCCGAGAGGCCCATTCCTGGTCCGCACACACAGCGACTACATAGCCCTGAGCACCGAGCTCCAACTGCCCGCCATCAACATGAGATGGCCTGACCCATTGGACATCTACACCACCGCAAGAAACCCCTACCCGAGACCGGCGCTGCCGCAACGCACTCGATGGGGACGCCAGGAGGCCACTAGGCCTACAGGTACCGCCCGCTAGAGGGCATGACTTTCCACCCCTCTTCACCCACACTATGCCCCACACCGGCCTGGCCCTCTCTGGGGAACCCACAGTCCCGCTACAGGACTTGGACACTGTCTCAAGGCACAAACTTGGCCAACCTATAGATTGGACACCCACATTGGCACTCTGCCCCTCTGCCTCCCGGAACAGCACCCCTTGCCGGGCAGTGCGAACGGTTGCCGAGCCATACCCCACCTACGGCCATGCCGCCCGGAAGCTTCACCATGGACATGGAGCCCGTCCACCCCGAGGGGGGTGGGTGGGCTGGGGGACGTGGCCCAAGGGACTGTGGTACCTAGTAGCGCCCGCAAGTGGTGGCACCCACTGCGCTGTGTTTCGCGCCTGCACATGCTGAGATGGCCCACTGCATTGTCCTTAACCCGCATATGTGCCAACGCATGCTAACACTATCTACGGCATGGTATATCACGCGTATACCCGTACACATAGATTGCAACCACCCCTTACGCTACAAACCACTGCATATGCGCCCGCACACGCTGCCACGACCCACGGCAGGGCACATAGCATGGCATAGGCGCCCACACATGCTTAAATTGCTTACTGCATTGCATTGACCGCTATATACGTACCTGCGCATGCTCACATGGCGCCTTGGTCGGTAGGTAGCTGTGCATACACGCCCGCGCATGCTCAAATAGCCCATCACATTTTATGTAACATGGTAGGTCTTTCCTAGGAGCTATCCTATGGTCACTTTATTTGTAGGATTCCCTCTGGACTTGCTCCCTCATTCTCCCCACTTGCTTTATCTCTGTTTCATATGGGGTATATGCCTGTTTATGCTAGAATTGCCTCCTACACATGCTAAACTTGTCTACTATTTATCTCACGGGTTATACACTTGTGCAAGTTCAAAATGTCTATCGGTTCGTATGCGACACTGGAGAGGTGCCAGAATAGGCTACACCGGGGTACAGCTTTGTATATACTAGTGCACAAGCACCCGCACACACAGACCAGAGATGGGCTGACCCCGAAGCAACACCACCCACCTCCATACAGATGGGGGAACCCGATGGGGGGTCCACTAGTTGGGATGCCCTCGGGGGGGACACGGGCTCTCCACACCACTTTTGGGGCGAGAGGAACGGCACCGCGGGGCCACGCTGGTGCACGTGGGGGAGGGGGTTGGGAGGAGGCTGGGTGGGGGTAGAGTCTCTTAGCATCCTAGACATCTGAGCTGTAGTAAGGGGGTTAAGCCCTGGGTCGGCCCATAGACCTTCCCCTCAGACTAGACAATGTCGGGACCCGGGGGTGAGTTCCCGCAGACACACAAAGGTATCACCAAGAGGTCGCAGTTCCGGCTGGAACCCGGCCATACCTTGGGAGACTCGCCCCGGAGACGCGACAAAAGTATATCACAGGTTCGAGTTACAATTGTTAATGTTTGTTGTGATCTACAACCACCTCTGTTGGCTGGTTGACAAGGCGCCTTCCACCCCCCGCGAGGTCGGTGTCTTCTGTATAGGGGGGGTCATCCCCCGCTCCGCTCTCCGGGCCGGGGGATTTCTACCCCCCTGACGCCGGTGCCTCTGCTCCACAACAGGGGCGATCCCCCCCGTTCCCCGCCGCACGGGGATACCCACTAACCAGCTCCGCCCTGCCTGCCCCGGACCAGGCTCTCCCTACCTGGGCCCTCACCCGCCCCCACGGACTGGGATGACTCAGACACTGGGGGGACTTGACAATATGGCTACACCTGCGTCCAAATACGCACCAGCCCCACTAAAGTTTCTATCCCTAAACGCAAAGGGCTTAAACTCCCCCGAAAAAAGGTCACACGCACTCCGCCTCTGCCAGAAAACTAGAGCCCATGTGGTCTATCTCCAAGAAACCCACTTTAAAACCGACTCTGCTCTGAAACTCAGTAACCACATATACACCCAAGGCTTCTACAGCAATAACCCGGACGGGAAATCTAAGGGGACAGCAATACTCCTACACAAATCCATACCCTTCGTAGCTGACTCGACCATGACGGATAATTTGGGCAGATATGTATTTGTTAGGGGTAAAATCCTGGACGAAACCTATACCTTTGCCAACATCTATGCCCCAAACACGCGACAGGACAAATTTCTTCGGGACACACTCCGGGCCCTGCACGACTTCACGACAGGCTGTCTGGTCCTGGGAGGGGACTTTAATGTCGCCCTACACCCAACGATGGACGCCTCCAGGGGCCACTCATCGACACCCCCCCTACACTGCTCAAAATTCGTAAACTGCTCCACCAGTACAGGCTTACGGATTGCTGGAGGGCGACGCACCCGACGGCTAGGGACTACACCTTCTACTCGACCCCGAATGACTGTTACACACGCATCGACTACTTCTTCCTTCCATATTACTACCTACCCAGACTGCGTGACTCAGCCATAGGGGGAACAATGTGGTCCGACCACGCACCACTCACGATTCAACTCACATCGCCACTATGCAAACCCAAAACTACGTCATGGAGGCTTCACGAAAGCCTTCTCTCCAACCCGCAGGTGACCCGAGACGTACAACAAGCCCTGACGAATTACTTCGCCGAGAACCCACCACAGGACACATCCCCCCTCTTGACATGGGAGGCCCACAAGTGTGTGATTAGAGGGATCCTTATCTCACACTCCTCTGCCCTGAAAAGGGCGCGAGAACATACGATCCGAGAACTAACTGCCAAGATAGGGACCCTGACACAGGCCCACAAACGAACACTAGACGACGCACTTCTCGGGGAACTCACAGCAGCCGGGAAGAACTAGCACGGGTCCTGCAGCAATCGTACACTAGGGCCCTCCAGCGCACTAAATCCTTTTTCTACTCAGAAGGAGACAGGTGCGGCAGGTTGCTGGCCAGAATGATCAATAAAAAACGCTCCATGACATACATCGCACGCATGCGCGACGCCGCAGGCCAACTACACCACATGCCAGACCAAATCACAGCAGCCATAACTCGCTTCTACACAGACCTTTACGCGATCCCCTCCCACGCCCCTCGAGCAGACCCGAGCCTAGGAGCGACCCGCATAAACACATACCTCACTAAATACACCAAAACCAAACTCTCCCCAGACGCAGCGGAGGCCCTGGAGGCACCCCTGATGGAGGGGGAACTGGCCCTGGCCATCAAAGCCTCAAAGACAGGCAAAAGCCCGGGCCCAGATGGCCTCCCCCTCAAATACTATAAAACCTTCCTGACCACACTGTCCCCCCGATATGTCTCGGCCTTCAACTCCATAACAGAGGGACATACCATCGCCCAGCAAACACTGGCGGCCAACATTGTCCTGCTGCAGAAGGAGGGGGGAGATACCGAACAGTGTACGGGATATCGACCTATATCGCTACTTAACTGTGACCTACGCCTGTTTGCTAAAATACTAGCTACAAGGTTAAACCCACACATACCAGACCTAATCTCTCCTGACCAAGTGGGCTTCGTCCCCCACAGGGAAGCCAGAGATAATACGGTCCGGGCCCTCTCCCTGATCCACCACGCGCAGCGCACCTCGGAGAGCCTTCTCCTCCTCTCCACGGACGCGGAGAAGGCCTTCGATAGGGTGGCATGGGACTATCTATTCTCGGTACTAGAACATGTCGGCCTGGGGACTCATTTGCGCCAGTGGATAGAATCGCTTTACTCATCCCCCATGGCCAGGGTGTGCATAAACGGGGTTTACACAGATGCATTCCCGATCAGGAACGGTACCAGGCAGGGCTGCCTCCTGCCGCCGCTTTTATTCATCTTGGCCCTAGAGCCCTTCCTACAAGCGGTAAGGGATAACCCAGATATCTTGGGGGTGACAATGGAGACAGACCACCACAAGATCGCAGCATATGCGGACGATATGCTATTCTTTATTACTAACCCGGAAATCTCCCTCCCAAACCTCATGGCAGAGTTTAAGACATACGGCCAAATCGCCAACCTCAAGATCAACTATGCCAAATCCTCTATCCTCAACATTGGCTCCCCCCAGAGGAGGGCAGACCAAATCAGACTGAACTTTCCCTTCCAATGGCGGGACACCGCTATTAAATACCTGGGGGTGAAGCTCACAGCCGACCTATCCAAACTATACCATATGAACTTCACCCCACTGCTGGGAACCATGCGGAAGAATCTGACAGAATGGGCCACACCTCACTTTTCCTGGCTTGGCAGGGTTGCCATTGCCAAAATGAACATCCTCCCACGGGTCCTCTACCTATTCCAGACACTACCAATCCCACTCCCTAGCACCTTCTTCGCAGCACTCCGCACCCTCCTCATTAAATTTATTTGGAAGGGCACTAAACCCAGACTCAAGTACACACAACTCACACTCCCCAAAACAGCAGGAGGCCTGGCCGTTCCTGACCTCAAACTGTACTACCAAGCATGCCACATGCAACGGGCCCTGGAATGGGCAAAAGAGGGGATAAGCAAACCCTGGAAGGCCATTGAAACCCACCACGCAG